TTTTTAACAATTATATATTTAAATAAAATTTCTTTGCATTTTAAAATATTGGATGGCTTTAGACCATTCGCACCATACATACTGTTAAATCCAAATTCATTTTTTTAACATATAAATCGGTTTGCGGATCTCTCATGATTAACAGGTATTATGACGTATTCGTATCACAAGTACCACCCTACCTCCCAGACGGTTCCCGGCACTTCCTCGCAACCTTCTCGACTACTGTAGTTCTGTACCCTCCGATACATGATAATCGTGAAGACTCTAACCAATAAAAGTAACGTCCATTTAATTTCAATGACGTATTACTACGCATAACATATATTGTGGCAAATCAAATGTTTAATGAACAATTACATTTATTATATGTGCTAGTGTTTTATTTTTTTCAAATTATGACATGCTAATGTAAAATGTGATGTAAAATATTAGGTTTCTAATCCGTTCAATATGCAAAAGGGAATAGTGAAGTAGTGAACTTTCTCTATATATTAATCGTGAACATTCGTAAATTAAACGCATTATTTCCATATATGTTTCTCACTTAATAAAAGATAAAAAAGACAAAAAACGTCAACTTCGATTGTGAGTGAGCATTCCCTTGTCTACGTTACTGCTTTGCCGATTTCTTTCTGGATGGTGAGGCTTCTAGAGGGCTTTCGTCAGATGGTGAATATTCCTACACTTTCCGCGATACTTCCTGCAACTTTATATAATAATCCATAACTCGACTCTATAATTTCAAATATAAAGTTAGATCAGCAATCATGCTATAAAAAGCAATTACTGGGGTTCATACTTTAAATAAATATGCTTTCTCTATGATTTCATCTATCACGTACACTTGATCCCTGTTATCTGGGATCGTGAAATTGGTAAGAATGTCAACGACATGCAACCCTCCTTTAATTCTGTGCATAGTGTATATTGTTGTTTCACGTTCTAAAATGACAAGACAAAATATTAATTAATTTAATTAAATCAGTAACTAACACAACACAAACATTACATACGGTAAACAAGTAAACCAAAACTTTGAATGCAAAGAAGTTGATCTTCTGATGCACCACGTATTAGATGATGCTGACGTTGATAAAATATCGAAATCTGCATTACTACAAAAATAACGGATTCCATGAGCTTTCTGCATAAGGTCTTCAAGACACGAATATCTGAAAATTACTAACCTTTAAACAATTTTTTCATATCACCGTGATATCCAGTAATATCCTCAGCCATGGCGTTTCCTACAACTTCCATAAACCCGATCTCCATTTCACTCGCGTTCATGTAAATTTTTAGGATCCCGTCATGCTTTGATCCAGAATTTACCCGAGGATTTTGACCTTTTGTTTCATTTCGTTGTTTTTTACGTAATTTGCTCTCTATCTCTCCGCTGGACAAATAATAATAAATTAAGGAGTTTATCATATATGGTACAAACGAAACCAAATACAATATTAATAACATACATTTGGAATCGGATTTTATCGTTTAAATCGTCAAATGCTTTCGGAATTAGAGGATTAACGAATGCTTCCCTATAAGCGATCTCCAACGTATTCGCATCACGAAGTATATTAAAAGGAGAGTTGAACAAGCATATACTAAAGTGAAACATGAGAATTAATGGATTGTGTTCTGTTTACTAAGCAATAAGATATACAGTACGCTTACAATCGCCGATAGATATCTTGCACCCATAAATTCTCATAATGTTTTTTGAAATCGAACTCGTCTTCAAACGGCGGTTCGAAAATAACCTTTATCGATGATGACCGAACATTATCATCAAAAATTGTTTCCGCTTTCACTTCAATAGCAAGGGCGTACTTATTAACCAGCGGTTTGATGCTTCCTTCCCATTTTGACCGACGCACCGTATTATGTTTCTCTTCAGCAGATGGTTCCATCTGAAAGAACATGCAAAATTATTAATCTAAAACCGATGTGATAGTGATAATAATACATACTTCCTTCCAGAATTTTCTCATTCTTTTTTTATCGTCATTAGAAAAAACGATATTCACTGGGTCAACTAAATTTTTTTCGGAGAGGTTGACGATACGATATTTGAAAAGACGACAGTTCACGTTTTCCATCTTTGAGATAATGAGTTGAACTTCAGTTGATGTCTCCTCGTTTTCATTTTCTTCCTCGCTTTCGTTATAATCATCAAAAAAATCGTCATCCTCAGTATTGGAACCACGGCGATGTTGATCCCGAAGATTCAGAGGAGATGTGATTACAGAAGAGGCTTCCTCTTCCTCGGCCGGTCTTTTCCTAGAAGATTTCTATAAGGACAGGTAATAGTAGGAAAGAATGTTTAAGACGAACAGTGTCAATTGACTCATTCCTCCTGTCTCCTACCTTAGATGGCCCGCTGTTGACTTCACTTGACTCATTTGTTAATTCTGCCATTTTCTGAGACGAAAAGTTACAATGCAATATATCTGTTTCTAATTTCCGTACTCTTTCTGCGAACTGCAACTCGAAATTACGCTCATAGAATTTATTATACCATTGCACGCAACTTTCTAGGACCGAAGCACCTTCAAAGCTACTAGTTACGTTAAGTAGTTCGGTGCATAGTGAAGATACACAGCCCGGAATCTCTTTATGATTTGTTTTCTTAATTTTTTTAAGTGATTGTAGCCAATCTTCATAAACTTGTACCCAGGGTAAGATTATACTTTCATTTCCAAGACGATAGTTAAGATAGTGTTTCAGTTGCCAGTACTGAGCTTCGACTTTTTTAAAATATTCATTTACATTCGTTTCTTTGCCTTCAATATTGTCGGGCAACAATATAGCTCATGTATTTTGTTGTTCTTAAAGTTGCTGTCATGTTTAGGAAAAGAAAATTAAAGTGGATCAGGTTACGCGAAAAATAAATTTAGGTAGTTAATAGTCCTGTTCAATTCTATCGCAAAAAATAAAATAATATTTCAGTATTTTGTTTATCGCGTCTATTTATCAAAAATCTGAGGTAAACTGATGGATCGCACGCTGATCGTTTCAACAACCAATAATCCAAAGGCACATTTTGCGACCAATCCTATAAGCTAATAAAGCGGATCAAGTTACATCACATCTTCATGTCGTATTTTGATTTGTCGTTCTTTTGTCGATCACTGAATTTTACACATCGCTTTTTTCGATATTGTGCTTGAGCCTTGAGGATGCAACTATGCTGAAGTTTCTCGTGTCGAGCCGGTCAATCGGCGGCGATAACTTCCCTTTGTATCTTTGGGTACTTAGGAGATGCCATACTTCGCGTCTAGCCGGTCAATCGGCGGTGAAGTAATGAGTTGCTTGGTATCTAACAACTGTTCGCGTCGAGCCGGTCAATCGGCGGCAGCAGTTGATCAACTGATTTTGCTGAAGTTTCTCGCGTCAAGCCGGTCAATCGGCGGCGTGAACTTCCCTTTGTGTCTTTGGGTACTTAGGAGAAGCCATACTTCGCGTCGAGCCGGTCAATCGGCGGTGATGTTATGAGTCAGTTGGTATTCAAGTTATCTCTTGATAGTCGCCAGCCTCTTATCAGCCATTCTCGATCATAGTTAATTAATAGCATACGCTTTAAATATAATCACCTCTTACACGATTAAAATTTATAAACCTGATACGAGCGAAAACTTTATTATGAGAAAGAGTGATATGATGCGGAAATGCAAGAGAAATAATATGATGCTATCGAAGAGGGAGGGAGTACGCGGATCCTAGGCCATTTATAATGCGAGTCCCAGCATCATATTATTCCTTTGCTCTCTCAGATTTCTTATAAATTTCTATATCTAACTTGTTTCTATCTATACGCCTATCTACTTTGCTAACTATGAGATTCTCACCCCATACTACACTAGATTTTCGAAATAAATCCCACCCATATCTACGTATATCAATATCATTCCCACCAACACTGAACATGTAAAGTATTAAGTTCCGCAATAGAACTTCACAAAGATGGAAAAATTTCGAATCTATAGCAGAAATTCCGGAGATTAGCAACTGAAGTAAAAATAAGCAATGCAATATTTCCGATTCACACTTACCACTACGATTCATTTTCACAGCATTCCAATCCGCCTCATATATAAGAAATTTATTGCTTAATTTTTTCGCCGGTACGATACTGCGCAAAGTTTCAAGAATTCGGCACGTGAAGATGCTTATGACGGAAAAATTATTTGATATACTGCGCAAGACTTTTGCTGTGCCGTTGCACGTGACGAGATTCATGTGAGTAATTTCACTGCGTCCATTGTACGCGTGATGATGGTCAGTGATTTTCTCGGCGAAGATCAAAATGCTGGTATATAATAAGAAGAGCAATATAACCGAAATTTTCATGGACATCTGTAGAGTTGAAAAAAATCGATTAACATCGTGGTGTCATGTTTCAAGAATCTAGTCGAGCAATAAATCAACATACCTTATTATTACTTTGCGGATTATACTCGTTTGATTGATTGATGATATTGTCGATGTTAATAATGGTAGGTTTAAAATTTTATTAGATTTTTTGTTTGATTTTTTGCTTATATTTGCACAAGGCGGATAAAAGGGTTCACTAACTGTCTCAACTTCTTTTTATATGACTTGTAATGGGTTTAAGGTTCGATTTTCGGAATAAATCTTTGGGGGAAATTATGTTATTATGATTCATCACGAAAATCAGATCAACGGATGCTCCCTAAAATTATAATAGACACAGGGATCGTGTCCCTGGATCAACAAGGGGGACTTTTTATTATTAATACATGCAAAAGCTTAAGTATATGCAGGAAGTTTCGAGAATAAATTATATAGTGCAATGACTTGTTACCGCTATCCTAATGATACTACGCATTTATAGGATCTGGATCCTCAGATGAAAAACTGAGAAATATTAGCATATAAACACAATCCCACACTAGATATTGACATGTAAATATATTGCGCTTAATGCGCCTTTGCTTTATTGATAAAAATATTTTTTTGTTCATACTGTGGAATAATATCAACAATGCCATCACGTGGCTACAATTGCGAACTTGAGTTTATTGCTTGAAGTGTTACAGGTAAGACAATATTCCAACTTATCTTGGGATAGCAACTTTGCTAATTCAGGATCATAAGGGAACTGATTCCCATTTTCGCAGTACCATAAGCCATGTAATCCATAATTCCCATGTTTTCCATCACAAATAGCTCCACAGCTGAGGTGATGTAAAATCATAATTATCAATCCCTCTGAAACTCAGGGTTGGTCTGGCTACAAGTTTATTGAACCCCAATAACCAATAGCTAATAATAACATAAGCCAGTGATAGTTTATTTAGTTATTAGCTATTGAGGCGTAAACTGGCTACTTGTTTCAATAAACACAATAAACTTTAATTTGGCTGATTATTTATTGAAGTTTATTGGAGTTTATTGTCCAACGTCATTTAAAAAATTGATTATCAATCAAGATGTAACACTAATGTAACCAAAATAAATTTTTTTTTTCAGGAAAAAAAAAGTTTTTTTTTTTGTTAATTGCCTTTTTTTCGTTTGTAAAATTCAAAAGGAGGAAAAAAAGTTTGCCTAACTTTCTTCTGTGTATTATCAGAAGAAAAAAAAACTAGCACATAGGGAATTATTATTCCTCTTAAACACTAATTTTCGAAAAGTTTTTTTGTGTTTTTTTTTATGTAAAAAAATAATATGGCACTGCGGGATTAATTTAGTATTTGTACTCAAATTTTATAATTAATATT